AAAATTACTTCTATTTGTGAAATACATTACCACTGAGGGAGCTAAGCACTGTGCTGGGTACTTTATTAGCATAAATTCATTAAACAAAAACAGAAAATCAGGGTACAGATGATCTTAATTTGTGTCAGCTGAAACCAGCAAAAGCTTCAGTGGAATTAAATCAGTGGCCCACCCTTTGGTGGCTTTTTCTTGTTCAATTACATTCCCTGCAGGGAATTTTATAGCAACTACGGCAATCCCAGGAAAAGGGCACACAATTACACAACTTTGCATGTAATGGCAAGAGATTGGCAGGCCCCTTGATTCCAGGGGTTTGGGGACCCCAGATGAAGAATCCTGCAAGGAAGCAATGGTCTCAAGCTTTTATTAATTTTTTTAAAAAGAATGTCCCAAATCTATGAATACTTATCTTAAAATTTTATTAGGTATGGGGCTGGGGAGATGGCTCTGTAGAATAAGTGCTTGCCTGGCAAACACAAGGACCTGAGTTCAATCCCCAGTTTAAAAAAAAAAAAAAAAAATTATCAGGTAATAACTCTACAAATATGCACACAATAAAACTCAAAATTTTAATAGCAAAGTGTGAAATGAATATATTAGGCCAAACATATTTCTCCCAATGAAGGAACATCCCCTACCTGTGCATACCCTACTTCGAATGTTCTTCCTCAGGGACTCTGGTTCAGTCACCAAGAGCTGCCAGGATACCCTGAGAGGCAGTTTCATGAAGCAAAAACTTCAAGAACTACAGAGAAAAAAATAGCCAGACCCCAAGTAAAAACAATCCTCAGCACCCCATGACTCACAAGCTATATGTTCCCCATCTCGTACATAAAAGATATAATCCTTGTAAAGGATTTCTCAGCAGATTTTGCTGGCAAAGATCTGACCATTCACACAGAAAAATTATCTGATTTCCTTTAAAGAATCACTCTGCCTCCTATTAAACTTTCAGGTTACCACCATAGTGTACCTGAACAATTAAACTGTTAATCTCTTATCACAGGAAATCAGCCTGAGGCCTGAGTGGGGAACAGTATCCTAGAAAGAGAAGACCTCTACATTCAAATCCCCCTTTCTACCAGCATGGCTAAGCCATTTTACAGTTTCCATAACTCTTAAAGGGGGATAAACCAATACAGTTATTGCATGGTTAACCTTCAAAGATAACTTTAATGGTGAATGTGTTTTGTAAATTATAAAATTCTATGTAAAGAACAAAAACCCTGTACTTTTACCATAAAAGCAAAGCTAAATAATTGGAAAAGTAACTATTACCCAAAAAAAAATGCCCTTATAATCAGTGCACAAATTTATAGTCTATTAAAGACCCTATGAGATACGTTGATTAAATCACCACAATGTCAAGTCCCAATCCAACAGCTACTCCAGCTGGCCCTAATATAACCGACAGTCCTCACCCTACCTGTGGACTTTGTAGAGGAAACTGGAGTACTTTTCTTGCAGAGGTCACATATACATTTCAGAAGAAAAGACAGGCAGCAAGATTAAGCTATAGCAGCCCCCCTGGAGGCTTAGAGGCCAGGTTGCACCAAGATTAGGACGGCCCCCCCAACTCTCATCCCCCCGCCTCCTGACCCCACTCTGTCACCCTTGCAATCCACTGCTTCCTAGGCATGTAAGCAGAATGAGCAACTGTTTCAGGGGAAAGGAAGTGTGTGGCTGGAAAGGCTTTGAGATCTTTGAGGCCCTGAATGCATGTCTAAAGTCCCTTGTGTCCGGGAAACACAGGCCAGAGATACTCTTCATGGATTAAGTCATTGAAGATGACTTACACATACGTTTTTAAAGCTTCAAAATTTATTGCTGTACATTTTCTCATAGCATTTACTATGGAAATATCATAGTGCAAATATTTGGACTTTATAGCATTTGAGAGATCACAAAGCTTTTGATATCTTTTGCAATAATTTATGAAGACCTATATTATCCAAGTTATATTATTTTTAAATTCAAACAAATAGTTTTGTAGTCAAAGAGATTACATAATGATCTCTACATCTCCCCTATAGAGCAAAAAACAAAAACAAGCCAAAAAAAAAAAAAAACAACTCTGGAAGCCACGAAGGCACTCCCTTCTTGAAAACACATACATCCAACAGTTTTCCAACTGCATGATTCTTTGTTAAGTCACAAATTCATTCATCACTTACTGACAGGCTTGTATGTGCCAGGCACTGTGCAAGGCCCTAGGGAAAGTAGAATGAAAACACGCAGTTTCGGCTTTCATGATGCTTACAGAGTAATAGTAGAAACAGACATCCCAAAAAATATACAATACAATACAATAAAGTACTTCCACAGAGGTATTCACAAAGTATAGTGGGAACTCGGAAGGAGGAAAAGAACATCTGCCTGGAGAAACTAGGTACGTTACAGAGGAGGTAGCCACTGAGCCGAGACTTGACCAGGATTTATTGCCGAAGAGATAGGCAGGCAAAGGAAACAACAGGTGCAAAGACATGGAGGCTCAAGGAGATAAAGGGAGCAGTAATGCAGTTTTTTTTTTCTTGAGCCAAGAGTACAATGAGACAGTAATATAATGACGCTCAACAGTGAGGCAGTTACAAGGTCACGAAGGGCCTTTCAACCATCCTGTTCATTCTGCAAATATTTACGGAGTGCTCACTATGCACCAGGAACTAGGCCAAGTGCTGAGGCTGAAACAGAGAACAAGACAGACACATCCTTGCTCTCGTGGAGCTTACATTCTAGTAGGAGAAAGACCAAAATAATCAGCAAGTAAGTAAAATACAGATTTAGAAATTTTCTACAAAGGAAACAGAGTACTGAAAACATAGTATTAGGGTAGGGATAGTTAGGGTTATCAAAAAGTACCTCTTGGAAGTGACTTAAAAATAACATTGGGGGTAACAGTAGTGTTCTATGAATACACACTACACACCAGGCACTGTGCTAAACACTTTATAGACAGTATCTCACTGGATCCCCACAATAACTCTATGAGGTAGGTATTATTATTTCACTGAGGAGGAACAGGATCAAAGATTCAGTAACCTGATAAGTCACACAAATGGCAAAAACCAGGAGTCAGACATAGGATATCCTAATCTCAAAGTGCTTGCTCTTAAAACTAACTCTAAGCTACTCTATTCCTACTAGTGAGGAATTCTGAGCAGGGAAGGGACTGGACCACAATGCCCTATTTTGACTCACTCTGATGACCTACACAGAGGAGACGAAAGAGGAAAGAAAGAGACAGTGAACATGTGAAGTAAAGGAGGCCACTGAGAGTCCAGAGGAGAAGGAAGGCTTGCATGCAGATGGGATGGGCAAAGGATGAGGTGCACATGTGAAAGGTACAGTTAATACAGTAGCTCTCACAGGACTGACAAATGTCACAGCCAAGGGGGAAAAGGGACATGCGGGACCACTCCTCAGCTGCTTCTGCTTTGCTTTTATTCAAGTTGGGAAATGCAAGATGGCGGTAAGTTTGTGGGGATGAGATGATAACTCAATTTTGCACATGCTGTTGGTATATTGGGAACATCCTGGACTTATAGAACAGTCCCCAGTAGAACACCATGGTTTTCAGATCTTGTCTCTACCTGAGCAAAGTATACAAGAAAAAATGTTTTACAGTGTGTACACTGTTTTTACTTTTACAAATCTGTTTAGAAAAGCACAGCTATCTTGGTTGGATTGCATTATAAAAATATATGATCATCAAGGTAAACCTATCCCAGCTTGACTGCAAATAAAGGCTCAGGGACTTTAGGGAGGAAAAAATACTTTGGCTATGCTTCTAATTAGTCATACTTGCTCCTAAAAAGAAACTGATGTTAACTCCCCACCCACCCCACCTGGGAAATTGATGGACCAACCATTTGAAGTCTTCCCAAGACCAAGACCATGAGGATCCCTGCTCACCCAAGAGCAGGGCTGTTCCAAGGTAATTTTCATCCTGTGGCCTAGGGTTCAAAGTTGAATATAAATCAAAAATTCCAAGAAGTATTTCCATAGTTTAACAATACAGGTCTGGAAACACAGCAATCCAGATTTAGCCAGTTATATTGCTTTAGGGAACCTCCTTCTCTTCTCCTTTGAGAATTAAAAGAAGCTGGAGGCACTGATAGCAAAATGTATGAACTGGTACAGAACTGTAACACAAAATTGATGACATCCTTCACCACATCACTTGGGGATCTAATTTTATTTTTATTTATTTACTTACTGTGGTGCTAAGGATTGAACCCACAGCTATACTAATAAGATAATAAGAGCTCTGTCAAATCTAATTTAAAATGAAATCGTAAGTTTGAAGTACATAAACTATTCCTATAGAACATACTTTTTTGTTCCATTTCTCAGTTTGCTTCAATTTGATTATAACAACCCCTTCCTTGAATTATATCTCAATTTAAACATTAATGAACATAGCAAGGCCAACTGAAATAATCAGATTGTCAGGAAATTTAACTTAAGGAAAGAAATGGAAGTGGTAATGAAAGTTAGGCTATGAGTTTCAACAGAAAAAAAAAATTAAAACTTTGGAGGCTGGATACTGATTAGTACAGAATCACAATCTGGCTCATTAAGCAGCTCTGCTTAGGTGCCTCTCACTGTGCTAAGGGTCTAACACTGCACTTATGATCTTAATAAGCTACTTAGAAAGTAAAAACTGCTTTAGCAAAAACATGAACTTCAAGTAACATCTAACAGGTACCTGTGTACCTAACTCATGCTGAGAGAAAGGAAAAAGCCTTATTCTTTTAATAGATCTGTCAGAAATACTAGTCACAGGCAAGGGAAAAAATACACCACTAGGTGACAATGTAAACTTCTGGTGCAAGCTCGATTCTCAGCACGTCTGGAGGCATATCACGAACACATACATTGTCTTCCACCACCTCCGTTTCAAACCTAAGGCCCAAGGATCAAAGCTGGATATGTGTCAGGAATGTTAATGAGAGGCTACTTATTGTGTGTACTCTTTTAACAGAAAAACTTCCAATCAGTCTGTGAATATAATCATTTATTTTTCTTTACAGTGATGATGGAAGAATGTACAGGTGTCCCCTTTCAATAAAGTATAAAAATCTGTTTATATACAGTGAAGTCACAATAATCTTTCATTGGGAAATTTATTTGGTACTCTTGGTTTGTTTATATTAAAACTGTGGGGGAAACAAATATTTCATGTAAGTGCTACATTTCCAGTAGATTGCACCTTGCATGAAAAGCTCAGCTTCATCTTAAGGTCCTTCTTGATATTACAAAACACTAATTTTAGGTCCTAGGACTCAAAATAAACATCATTTTTTAATAATAGATATATACATCAAAAATACATCTAAAAAGGCATTGGTTAGTGCTATTATTAAAAAGCTCTATGGGCTCGGGTACATTTTTTTCTTACAGGCAAAACCCAGTGGAAATGTTTTTATTCAATTTCTAGTAATTTGCTCTTGGGGAAAGTCAGTCCAAAGTGACCTGCAAGAAAAAACAAACAACTTAAGTAATTCAATGATTTTTCAGTGAAAGATCAGCAAAACTAATTAAAAAAAAAAAAAAGTTAAATTTCACTTAGAATCTGCTTTAACTCTTGATTGCGCATTTACAGTATTTTACAAATAAATCCTTAAAATATTCCCCTAATGTTTCAAATGTTCTATTTTGGTAGCCTGTAATACATTTACTTTTCAAGGAAATGATATGTATCCCTTTCTCCAAGTCTTTTCTACCTAAAATTAACTAAATCAGCACAATAAGGTCATACAAATGAAAGCTCATAATCACCAAATGCAAACATACAGTATTTTGAAAACATTTCTACTTACAATGATTTTCCCTCATAAGGATTAATTTCACCTAGACCATTTATAAATGATAGATATGCACTTAAGTCTTATTTATTCCAAGTGAAATGGTACTGTACAATTGAAAATTGAACTATGTATGTCTTTAGTATGATATCTCATTCACAGTTAAATATTTTAACATCTTTTTTTATAGTTACCATCTTGCAATCATTCTTAAAATGTTGTGAGGACCTAGTCATTTATATAATTTAAGTGACAGAGTAAATCTCAACCTGTTATTTAAATAAATAAATGCAGGTCACCTTGCTAATAAAGGAACCTTAAGAAGGCGTGTAGTATGGAGAGACACAACCTGAAGAACCAGAGGCTGAAAGAGTCGCAATCTCTTACCAGCCTCATGTGGTTGGCCACGTCCCTCTCTGCCAACCGAAGTGAGCCGTATTCCTGACAATGAACATCTAATTAAGTCACGCAGCCATGGTTCCTCTTAAGCATTTTATGTATATTTTAGGCTAAGTAATGCAGGTAACTAAGGAGTACTTGTGAATCCTCTACAATCTACAAATCTACTGGCCTATTCCAATGCCATTCTCAAGGTTACAGTATGACAAACTAGCAGGAATCTTTCCCTACACCAAAATAGTGGCCACTTTTAAGGCCTAAAACTCTTACCACTTGACATTAATAAATTTGTAATCACTACTATCCGCATTTGTGCAAGGCAACTTGCCTAAGACACTCGCTTATGTAAGGGATCTGAATGCCGTCCAGCTATCAACCTGCAAGTCATCCACAAAGGAAGCACAGAGCTAGCTAACCCTTCACTACATGATGGCCCTGATTATCCCAAACTGACTTCACAAGAGAAGTCTAAGAGCCTACTTTACAATAGCTAAATCTTGGAAGCAGCCCAAATGCCCATCAACTGATGAATGTGATAAAGATGTTGTTTTTATGTATAATGGAGAATAAAGAATAAACTTCAGATATTTCTAGGTAAATGGGTGCAACTTGAGATCAGACTTTTAAGTGAAATAAATCAGGACACACATATTTAAATATTTCATTGTTCCTCTGCTGTGAGAAATTGAAAGGGTAAATAAGGAGCAAAATGTGTGACAGATACTGGGAAGTAGAAAAAAAAATACTCAAATGGGAAGGGAAACAAAAGAGAGGAGAGGAGGAAAGGAAAGAAGGGAAAAAATGGAAACAAAGCTTTATTAATGAGAGGAAGAGGGGCTGAAGAGGGAGGGGTGGAATGGGGAAGAAAGAATCAAGATACATTATGCACAGGTACAAATTCCACATGATGTGTGATCATTCATTATATGTATCAAAAATGTACCAGTGGGGCTGGTGAGATGGCTCAGTGGTCTAAAGCACCTACTTAGAACAAGCGTGGCAAAGCACAGGGACCGCGGTTCAATCCCCCAGCACC